CAGGGGGAGTGCGAGAGAGATAGCATGAGCGCAGCTGTCCGAGCAACGTACTACTACTTCGCCGTGTTCCAGCACCACTACCGGGAAGGTGAGTAGTACAGAGGAGCGAGTTAGTGAGGTACAGTGAGGGATAGGCGCAGGACGGCTTTGTCTCCGCTCAAAATCCCCGGGACGTTGACGTCGAGTAGAACCAACGTCAACTGTCCGCCCGCGTCGCCACCCTGACCCGGTGCGAGAGGTGCAAACCCCCGGCGGCCCGACGTTGTTCAGTCCGCGAGATATCGGCCCGTCCTCATTTTGGGCGAAAACAACGACGGTCGCGACAACACCTTTAGGAAGTCGCAGTGAGGCAGTGTAGGTTACAGCGGGTTCAAGGGGGCAGAGTGGGCGGGAGTACAAGTACTTACTTACCTCATGTCACCCTTGTGGCCGGGAAGGAGGTGCCGGCTGCGCCACCGGTCCCGGGTGCCCGGCCTCGTCCCCGGGGACGGCCGGCCCGTGTCCCCGATCGGACCTTATCCCATGGAGCGCCGCCATCGCCGTCGTTTGCCGCTCACCGTAATAAATTTATCGCGCAGGGTTCCGAGCCAAACGCAGCAAGGGCTGTATGTCTGGTGGCGCGACGTGGCGAGACATGGCGTGGCGGAGCGTGGCGAAACATGGCGTGGCGGAGCGTGGCGGGGCGTGGCGGGGCGTGGCGGAGCGTGGCAGAGCGTGGCGGCGCGTGAACGTGTGAGTCGCGTGCCGGCCCACCACCGCCAGACTGGACTGAGATACTGAGACTGAGAGTAAACCGCCCCACGAGTGCGGCGACCACGGCGGCGACTCAACCACCCAGCCAACGTCTTCGCGCGCTGCGCGCCCTTCCCCGGCCCCGGGGCGGGTAGGCACGCGTGAACGCTCACGTGAGATGAACGCTCACGTGAGATGAACGCTCACGTGAGATGAACGCTCACTCTAACGTGAGAATAAGCGGCGCCTCATACTACAGGCGCAAAAATTACTAAAAATTTGGAAAATCCAAATATTTTGGTAATATAACAGAAATTATAGAAATCTCCAAAAATCTTGGCAAATTTGATGCGCTGCATAGAACGTAACTTTCCCCAAAAATACCATATATCAAGATGCCATTTTTTGTGCAAAATGTAAATCCCATTATGTACTCACTCCTTATCCAAAATGATACAAGTTACAAGTTTGTCCATTTTTAAGTCTTTCTTTTTGACACGCCCCTGCCCCACTCGAACCTTGACCCTTGGACCTGCTTTCTCAACAACCCGCTGCGCGTCGAATAGGCTGCCTACCGCCACGGCGCTCGCCAGAATCCCTCTGCGATAAATACCCACGCCGTGCAGTACCCATCGGGTTGTATTCGGGTGGTTCGCGGTTTTGTTTCGTCACTCCCTGCCGTCTGCCGTCGTGGACGCGTTTGCATTTCCGTTTCTGCAATCGACGGAATACTATTGCTCTTAATGCGGCGGTCACCCGCCCCGCCGGCCGTGTGCGTGTGCGATAGCCACTTGGCACGCGCGATGCAGTGCTGTCCCGCCCGAGCGAGTGAGAAAGCGGCGATACACTGGCCATAATGTATTCGGGTGGCGGCCGCGCTGGCGGGGAGCCGGCCGTAGGAGTCCTGGGGGACGGGCGCAAACCGCTAAGGGAGTACTCGGAGAACAGGTGGTTAACAGTTTCAAGATAATAATTAACTTGGTGAAGAGGATACCAGAAACTGGTGGAAATTAAAATCCCACACTGAATTTGGGCTTTTTCTTCGACCGGCGCATCCTATTTTATGGACGTCCCCAAAGGATAGGGCCGGGCGTCACGTGACCAAAGGGGTCTGCATGCAGTCGCTAAACGATAGCGCCGACAGGAAGGGCGAGGAGGGGGGGGAGGGGGCCTCGACAGCGGCAGTTCGCGCGGCCTCGGACCAAGGAGAGCGCCTCCTGGCCCCGGTGGTGTGACTCGTTCAAATAAGTAAAACACGACGACGAGTCTGCAGAAGAAGAAGATGGACCTCGAGGCGATAAGCGCCACACGTGGACGCGGCGAGGGACCGAAACGGGGACCAATTTCCACTCGGCGACGATAATTACCGATAAGGGCGGTGGCCATCTGCCGGGAGCTGAGCTGAGGGCGCGGAGCGCTGGGCGGGTCCGCGCCGCACCTTCCCCGGGCGCCCCAGAAACTTTTCCGGTGTTGTGGGGCGGCCGGCCGGCGGGCCGGGGAAGTGCCGGGCCGGGCGGCGGGCGGCACTTCTCGCAGCGTGGGCTTTTTGTTTTGGCGACATTGAGTCAGCCCTCCGCCCCCCGCCCCGCCCCCGGGGGTGATAAGGCTGCGAGCCCAGACCCGGTAGGTGTGTTTATGACATAATGTCGTCTCGCAGCCCGCCGGCTGGGGCGGCCGGCTAATGGGTTCCCATGGGGGTGGGTGGCGTCCGCAGGGCCCGCAGGGGCAGAGCCCTGTATCGGGCGAGCCTCCGGTCGGCAAGAGGCTCGTTTGAGAAAAGTGGTGTGAGGTAGGGTAGGTAGATGTCTCCAAAGTCTCTCGAGCCGGGAGTAGCGACGGTCTACCGGCCGCTTCCGTCTCTCTCGCACTGACCAGTGCCTGATGCGTCTGTCTTCGTCTTTCCTAAACGAGCCTCGCCGGCCGGCCAGATGCCCGCTTCACCTGGCGAGCCGAGCCGAGCCGAGCCTTCGCGCGAGGTGGAGCGGCGTAGTAACGAGCCTACTAGGCTCGCCCGATACAGGGCTCTGTGCAGGGGCGCCGTGCGACCTTGCTGGGGGTGCTTCGCGCGCGCCCTGACCCCGTCCGAGGCCACCCCCCGCTGCCGGCCGGCGGCCGCACCCGGGTGGCTGTGGGCCACCCGGGTGCACGACCTAGCTCAACCCGAACCGCAGCCCGCGAGGCCTTATACCGCGCGGCCTCAAGGCTAGCTAAGGGCAGGTGAAAAACTGCAGAACTGCAGCAACCAGGAAAAAGACGGGTGGGGGGAGACGACCCTCTTCTCCGACTCTGACCCTTCCCTCGCCAGGTCACCGCGCGTGCAGATCTGCCTTGCGTATGTGCCGTGTGTCCACGACGCGCACGACCACGGCGGCGGCCGGCGGCGGCGGCGGGGCGGGGCGGGGCGGGGCGGGGCGGGCACGCAGCCCACGGCCCACGCAGCACGGAGCACGGGAGGCGCGCGCCGAGCGCACGGCCGCAGCGCGTGGTAGTACTGCGTGTCTGTGTCTAGCCCACCACCGCTAGCTTAGGGGTGGCCCGGGCGAGCGGGGGAGAGGGGAGAGGTAGCCCACTGGCCCCCAGCACCCCCTCCCCCCGGGCTAACCCGGACCGCCCCTCCATCCATGGCACGCCATGCCGGTGCACTCGCCAAACAATAGCGCCGTGATTCGCGACGTTTTTGTCATCGTGTACACTGTTTGAAAGCTCTATAATATCGTGTGGCCAGTTCTTGGTTCTTCCTGACATTACTAGTCAAAACTAACGTCTACGCCCCCCCCCCCCTCATTTTCCTCCTCATCCACTCCGCGAAGTAGAATCAGGAGAAAGGACGCACATGCTCGCCCGCTGCTCGGCATCATCTGGACTAGATCATGTGTCCGGATTATCGAGGGGATCAGCCGCTACAATATCACTCGGCCACCAGCAGCGCGCGGCGCGGCGCCCCAGGCAAAAAATCTTTTTAAAAAATGTACACGGATGATAAGACTGTTGGAAGGATGAGCATGCTATCAGTGAAGTCACGCTTTGAGCCCCGGTCTTCCGCCAGACTGTACCGCCTCAACGAGTGGCAGTATGTACTGGGCATCGACTCCAATCAATGAGAGCGCAAAGCGCAAAGGCTTCGGCGACTGGCTTCTCCCTTCTCTGCTCTGCTCCTTTCGCCAGTGACTGGGGGGGGGGGTGGCGGCGTGGGGGAAAGACCATAGGATCTTGTTAGCGCAGGACCGCGTAGGACTTGGTGCTGTCTGCAGGTGTGAAGGGGTTTTTCGCGGTGCGAAAGGGGTGTGACGGACTGTGTTAAAATAAATTTTGAACAATAATCTGATTTTTGCGATAATACAGCGAAGCCTGCGGCCCTGAACTGGAAACCCCCCAGCCCGGCCGGCGCGCGGCGTTCGGTGGCCACGCGCGTGGAGAGTGGGAGAAGGGGAGGGGGGCACCTCTCACCATCCCCGGTGCGGTGGCTGTGTTGTTGTTGGAAAGGGACGCGACTCGACTGGACGGCGCGAAGCGGAGGGATGTTCCAGAGGTTTACAGCGGAAAGTTTAGCGTTTCAGCCGGGAAAGTTTGCCGGTGCAGCAGCCTTGCGCACAGTGTACACGTTGCTTGCACGGGCAATGGGGCAGGGTCGCGAGGCGACGTACCGCCCCTCCTGCGCTATTTGTGATGCATCATCCTCGTCAAAGTGGTTTTTTAATAACATAAAAAAAAATGTGTTTTAAAAAAGAAAAAGGATGACCCGCAATTTTCTACGCAGTTGTGTTTCAGGCTCGATACAATTCAGAAATACGCACACATACCCAGTTCTTCCACAGTTTTCCTTTGACCGCGGTAATCGCCCCTACTCCCTACTCTGACATATTCTTTGAATTTACATGCCAGTGTGTAATTTGATTTGTCCGACCATATACTACATCCGACCCCCAGCACACCTGCCCAGCCCCACTGTAGAAATAACCCCTACCTTACTGTAAGGGAAGGGTCTTCCCCCTTCGTACTGAGCGCACTTGCTGCCTGTCGCATGGGGACGCGCGCCGTCTCTGTCTGTCTCCGCCGTCGGTGTGTGCGTCCCGAGGGTGCGAGGGCGGCCACCGCGTGCCGTTTTCGAACGCGACCCGGTCGTCTGCGAGTGCAAAGCGGTGCAAAGAGTGTGGGGCTGTGGGGCTCTGACTTTCTCCCTCTCACGATAAGCTGATTGGGAGGGAGGGAGACAGAGCCGAGCCCGTGTTTCGCACTCTCCGAACGCGCCACTCTCCCCGCACCGCACAGCCCCGCTCACCCCCTGGCCCTGTGTGATCACGTGGACACCAGCTGATCGGGCTGGAGGGTGGTGGGGGAGTTGGGG